GTATATACACACATGTGTTTTTGTATAGTTACATAAATACATATACACATAGATGCACGCACGCACGCCATCACGCACGCACGCACGCACGCACGCACGCACGCACGCACGCACGCACGCACGGACGCATGGTCACGTGAATTCACGACTAGTTACTAGAATCAAGGAACCGTCGGTGTCGGGGGCGTGGCCGATCCGGACACACTTCGTCTCCGAAGGGTCGAGCAGAAAGTGTTTCGGCCTCAGCAAAAAACAAGCCGTGGGCGGGCAGGCCAGATTTTTCGATGGCGCTGCGGCGCAAACCCGCACCCGATTGACTTTTCATGGCGACGCATGCTGAAACACCCAGACACCGCCGCCGCCGCGCGGTCGGCGAGTTCCACGTTACCCCAGAAGCGGTGCGAAACTCGGCGACCCCTCCGTTCTCACAAATCTCTTCGGAGAGACTCTTGGGCAGTCATTTGTTCTCCTTGCGGTGCTTTTGCGAGATTTCCTGAAAATCGGCGCCCGCTCAGACGGCGTAGAGGTTCTTGCTGGCCTGTAGCGTTGCTGCTAGTTTCTGCTCCTCATCTGGGTCTGGAAGCTTTGTGAAGTGGCGCATTCTATCTGAGGTGACGGCGGCAAGCTTTTCATCAACGACCTTCCGCACTTTCGAACTCAAGCGCTTCGCATCAACTTCTTGCCATGGATCTTTGGACAAGTTGGACACGAGGTCGATCAAGCTTTGAAAACTGCACAGCGACAACCGCACCTGTGCAAGAAGACCCGGTACATCGTGTAAGCGCTGCTGCTTGTCCACGGCAGCCCAACGCTGGATCAGTTGCAAGGATTCGGCTTCGTCTTCTACGTGCAACGCGTCGCTGGCCAGAATGGCCTGCATGCATGCCGCATCGAGAGCTATCACGTGCGCGACTGCTCCGCTCTTTACGTCGATGGACTCCCCGAGAATGTCGGCTGCTGCCAGGGAGATGTTGGCCACAGAATGCTTGAGGCCCAGCTGCAAGTAGGACGCAGCATTCTGTGCCGAGAGGCGCTCCCTTGCCATCATCATCTCCCCGTAGGTGCTTTTCAGATCCTCCAGCTGCCATCTGTCAGCAAAGGAGAGGAGCGAGTGGCGATCGCTTAGATTGCCGCTCTGATCGCTCTGAAGGCTCGGCAAGCGCCCTTGGAGCATGAAGCGGAGAGCGTCCTCCAGCAGCTCGGGCGGAGCATCGATTTCCACCTCTGTCTCCTCCGCCGTTTTCGTCATCAAACTTTCAAAGGGAGGGCTCCAGGTGGCCACCACCTCCCTTCGGCACTTGTACACTTTGGTTGAGCCAGGTGTCTTCAAAACCACGTTGCTCGAGGCATGGAGAACAGCCAGCTGCCGCGCCAATGCGGCAATAGTAGACTTCAGCGCCGGCCGGTCATCCGGACCCTCTTCCTCTGGCTCCGTCTCTTCTACGTCTTCCTCGTCTTTCTCTTCCCCTGCATCGCTCATGGCTCTCAGGAGCTAGCGTCATTATGGACTCAGGGCCAACCGTGGGAACCCTACGGGATCCTGCAGGGGCAATGCCCTTTTTTGATCCGACAAGGGGCCGATGTCTCAATGCAAAAGCGAACATGAGACGAGCAAAACAACAGCGAGCGAGCGCTCCCTGAGGACGATACCCCCTGGTCGACGCACCTCAGCGCTGTTTGAGTTTAAGCGAGTCCAGCTCCCAGCAGTGCCCCCTTCGAAAGGCTCAGCATCCTGCATCCGGACCCTTCGGGTGTGATCGTAAACCCCAGCGCTGCCACGCTTTCTGCCATGGCCTTAGAGCGGCTCGGCAGATCACAACGAAAGGGCATCAATGGCTGCTTCAACCCGTTCTCCCGGTCCTGTGTCCCCCTTAAGCCGACGCGCGCTGCCGGCCAAAAAGGGAACCCTCCCGTGCCAAAATGCTGCAAGCACGTACCGAGGCCAAGTCACTGTCGAGTACCACCGAAGGGTTTCAGGGAAACAGACTGCCATCTCAGATATACCCCGTGAACTGACCTAGCGACATGCCAGCACATACCAGCTGCGCTTCTTTTGTCGACGGGTGCGTTGTCCCGCTCCACATCTCGAAGCAACACGAAAGCTGCTGAAACTCTGCAACAGCCTTGTAGCGGAGTGATGAAAGAGCAAAGCGTACTTCGCACAAGGGCTCTCGAGGCAGTCTTACGATCTACCCCGAAAGCTCGTTCCAAGTATCTGTGGTCTTGAGGGAAAAGCAAGTCGCTTCTCCGTTACTTACTGGACACCGTCCAGTTCAGCAGGGAACCAACTAAATGCAGTACGAGTGCTGGCATACACTGCCTGTGGACCTAACAAGATGTTCACTACCGTTGTGAGGCCTAACACAGCAAACTTCGGACTGAAATCTAAGAGAAGTGAAGAGGCATCGTGAAATCCGACATGAGAAGCACTAAACACACGCAGCAACCACTGAGCTTTGGCCCGGCGCGATGCGATTTCACATGGCACCTGGGCCCCGGCACCGAGTTCCCCCAGCGCCAGGCGAGTGGCTGGAAGACACAAGACTCTCCACGCTGAGCTCCAGTTCGCAGACTTGCGGAAAAGATTAGGTGCTCAGTGACTCTTTGGAATCTGGCAGAACTGCAGCCATTGCCATTGCAAGCACGCCCTGCAAGGTGTACTTTGGCTCAGGGACATCTGGAAGATGAGACCCCAGGCAAGCTCCGCAGCGGACTGGGCTCGCTGGAGACACTTGGCGCACCGGGTGGGCTCGAAGTTGTTCTGGCGCTTGGCCCAGGCTCGTGCCTGGAAAAAAAAAGCCACGGTTTGCGACCCGCAATGCTCAGCTTTCAGCCTGGCCTCGTGTAGGACCCTCTGGTCGCACACCCAGTGGAAGGCACAGCAATCTGACGTGGAGATCCGCGAAGCGAGGGACTTACATGTTCGCTGCACCTCGGTGCGCCAAGACTGGCATGCTGCTGCAGTTGCTACTTTTGCACACTGGGCGGAAGGTTGCCAAGTTTGCCAGGAACGACCAAACAGCTTGCAAAGGCCAATGGAAAGAACAAGCCGAGTCCACACACAAGCAAAGGAAGATGCACAACATTGTGCGCAAGTCTGACCTAGTGACCATTGATGCCTGTAGTGACCTAGACCTAGTGACCTTCTTTCTTGTTGCGATGAGCCGAGGCTTCGATCACCGAGCCAAGCGACTCTGCCTTCTTCCGTGTCTCCCAGGCTTCCGTATTTTTCCGAAGGTGCGCAAGCTGGGTATCCTGTGCAGGACATGATGTGCCAGGCCGCCTCTACCAGATTTTACAATCGCGCAGGAGCACAAGCCTTCACTCTATGCTGCAGCTCCGCCAACAGCGCAAAGGTGGGCTGCACGATGATGGTAAAGAAACCGACCTGCCAGCGTAGAAACGGCGCCGGCCCGCACTTATGTCGGGTCGTCTCACTAAACATTTCTTTCCTGACCTTCGCCCTGCCATTCGGGTAAACTGTGCCAGACATACGTCACGTTCGCATGTAACACCATGGACTCCCAACAGCAAAGAAGTCTCAAAACGTGCTACAAAAAGGTATCGTCTACTCGAATCCCAGCCAGTAACCTATCCTGATGTGGGAGGCGAAACCCCGAGACCCTTGGTTGTCGAGGGTTGTTATGCGAAAGTGCGAAGGCCTGACCTCGGCTTGGAATCGGCCAAGGCTTCCGCTGGTGCGGAAACTGGCTGTGGCACTGCGGCGCTGTTGCGCTGTGGTGGTGATCCGGTGGCTCAATCCGGCAGAGCCAGTCCGGAACAGCATGCCAGGGGCAAAGTCGGACAGCAACGGATCAGAATAAGAAACAAACAGCCAAAGGGACTTGATTCAAAGAACACACATGCGAACCCAAGATACACTGCGTTCTCTCATCCGAAACCTAAAGAATTTTTGCATCCAGGTTATATTGATTTTCCGAGTGAAGGCCTTCTGAGTTGGTGCTTGCTGCTTTTCGGACTCACACTTCTTGACTCCTGATCCACAGCTACTTCGGGAGTGTTGCTGGGAGAAGGTGAGACACGGCATCGACACAGATGAAGCTCCACCAGTGCCTGCGAGCTTGCGAACCGCACGGTGTCACGATCGCAGAGAGGAGACACGGGCAGGCCAAGCTCCTTCTCCTGCCAGGCTCGCAAGCTTTCCGTGTTTCAATGCCATGCCATGTGCCGTGCTTTGCCATGCGCACTCGTGACTCTAGGCCTGGTCCCCTTGCAGAAAGAACTCTTGTCGCAGCAGATCCTTGGAAGCACCAAGCGGCACCCATCCCAACACCACGATCGATCGCTGCAAGACTGTGAGCTCCAGCAGACATCGGCCGGATGTGTACTCCGCTCCTAATACCTGCTAACTGTTCGTCTCTGTCCCTGACAAACTTATGCGATGGAGATGCTGACCACTTGTCCGAAAGCGGCAAGATCTTGGCCGGATTAGAGATATCTATCGCATGGAGGACCATCACCCGCATTGCAGACCTTAGGCTGAAAGCACCCCCCGCTCCCCGCACTCAGCATCCAAGCACGAACGACAGATGCTGCACGGGCGTAGGGCGAATGCAGTCGTTAGTTTAGATACAACACCGCGCAAATGTTCGAGCCTTTCTTATTTGCCAATTTGCATGGCTTTCTCTTCGTGCCACTCCTGCGTGTCGTTCCCAAGCTTCTCGACCAACGTCTTGAAGTCAGCCTAGCTCAAAGATGGAGAGTGTGACCCCCCTGCACTGACGCTGGTCTCTGTGCAAGCAAGTCACCACATTCCCGAAATGAGACGACATATCTGTACCGAGAACCACCTGAGCCAAAAAGGAATTCAAGCTAAAGCCCGTTTGCCGGAATCAAAGGCTGCGCTAAGCGCCAACCGCTAACCGCTAACAGCCTACGTGCACACTGATCTCCCACTGACTGAAGCCTCTCACCGTTCTGGTTCCTCGAAGTGAAGGCTGGCCTCCACCATTTCTTTCCGAAGGCGAGTGCGGTGATCATGCTTCAACCCATCCTGAGCTTGCAACAGGTGCTTCCAACGGACTTCGCAGGGTGCCTGGACTCTCATGCCACAGCCATATCGGCTAAGCTGCCAATATATTTGAAGATGGATCCTGGCAGTGGTCGAGCAAAAATGTAGTTGTGCATGATTGAATGGTGGCCACTCTGTTGAAGCAACTCGGGAGTGAACGCTGACCATGAGCTTGAACGTCTTCGAGATATGCATGTTCTCCAGAACGCTAATATCCTCGGCTGGGCCCCAACAGGGTGCATGGGCCCCAACAGGGTGCAGAGACTCGGTGCGTTCGGCTAGTGGTTACATCAAGTGTTCGTCCTATCCACAATCATGAGTCAGAGGCGGGAATCGGCGGTGATAGAGGACTTTCTAGAAGACAAAATTGAAACGGACTTCAGTTTGCAGTCAGCGATGCCTGCGCCACTGACAGAAGACTTGGATCACACTGCTTAGGTAGAGGGGAATATTTGAGCTCCGGACCGCCTGGCCTGATTCAACCTGATTCAGAAACCTGTCGATTTGCGAACCATGGCCCTGCTACTTGTCCTATAGCTCAATCAGCGCATCACCGAGAGTGAGAAAAGACGACAACTTCACGACTTGACAGGGTCTCCTTGCGAACATCCGGCTTCTAAGGATGGATGCTGTAGGCAGTTTCAGGACGCTGCGAAGGGTCGTACGGTCTGTCCTTCTGCAGCTCACGGGGAAGGCGGGCCAATCCACAGGGTGGCTGGGCGAAGCCCTCCTAACACAAGCCATTCATCAATCTCTAGTGAAAGATGCCTCAGGCCAGCAACAGTACGCTCAAAGATATCTGTCGCAAGCTCCTACAGAACCCCTTTCGTAGAGTGAAAGATGCCTCAGGCCGGCACGGACAAGACTTCAGCAACAGTACGCTCAAAGATATCCTTTCGTAGAAACCGAAAGCTGTGCCCGACAAGAGGCGTTCCATGTCAAGGCTATGTCGTCCCCGACATTCACATGGTAAGAATTCGTTCGCCCATCATGGCCTCAAGCGATTGAAATTTTGGAGCCAGAGCACACAATCAAAACTGATGCCCATGCCCGCACATCGGGTAAGTCCGGACAAATCCAAGCGGCCCATGTCGTGCACCACAGCGCCCAGGAGAAGTGCCAGGATGCTGAGCTGATCGAAGAAAGCTGCGAAACCAAATTGCACGAGCAAGGCATGCACGCCTTGTGTCACCTCAAACAAATTTCAGAAGCGATCCAATCACTCTGAACACGCACGAAGCCTGCCATATGCAAGAGCACGCTGAACTGCAAGCCAGATGCGTCTGCTGCATGCACATTGTTGTGATAAAGTACTTTATCAGGTCTTTGATACATCTCCTCATGGCGTGCGTAAGTCAAAGCTGCACTGTTCACAAGAGAAGCTGCACTCTTGACAGACAAAAGCAGAAGCTGGAGGGTCCTCGGCAGCTTCCAAGAAGCGACTGGTCTTTTCCATGTCCAGGACGATTTCCATCCTTGGAACGTGTCTCCATGCGCAACGGTCCAGCACCACCTATAGTCTCAAGCTCAGGGCTGGACCCATCCGAAAAGAAGCCGTCAAGCACCCTCCAGCCAGCAAAATGCAGCGGACGTCCGTTGGTTGATTCTGACAGTTCAAAGCCTTGGTCAGCAACATAGACACAACTTCAGCCCTCGCTGTACACTTAGAGTTCGAACGAAGAGCAACGTGACCAAGCCTACGTTGCGCCGAGACACTGTCAAAGTCCCAATGGTCCTGAGCTTCGTCGATGGCCGGGCTGCAGTCACCATGAATTTATGAATGAACAGCTACAGCAAAGTCAAACGCTACAAGCTGAAGAATCTACAGAAACAGTGACATGAGCTGAAGTTGAGAGCGGGATGCGAAGGCCGTCAACATCTTCGAGTCTATCGAGTCCCAATTTGGTGGTCGGAAAGCCACGGAAGGCGTTCTAGACCGGCTGGCAGGCGTTCCGGGACAAGACGAGCTTGGCTGCACCTGACTGCTGCAACTGCACTACACGCTTGAATTCAACTCCAGCGTATCAGGGCCTGCTTGGCATAGATGGAACACAGGTAGTCCTTAGCTCTGCTTCGGGAATCCGGACTGACTATCACCGAAATGCCAGGAGATAGTCGCCATCATGCACACGCTGTTTTTTCAAGTCAAGCAACGTACCCACCTGGCAGCTGCAAGGACCCCCACAAAACATCACTCTCCCTAAAGTTGAACCTCCGGTAACTTGGCCAACTGGAAAAAACATGAAAAGGCTGTCTTGTTCAGCGAGAGCAGGACGCCTGGAGTTCCATCGCCTTGGCGCTTGGGCAGGCTGTCAAATGATCCTACATCTGAGCTCGTCGGGCCGTGCTGTGTTTGGAAAGACATCTACAAACCCACCCATATGTAAGATAATTTGCCTCCTGATTGTTGAAGTGTTGCGGCTGCCACGACAAAGTCGCCTGCTAGGTCGTTTGGGATACTGTTGCTACAGTCCCTTCACAAAATCCCCGCAGCAAGGTGTGGGACTGGAAAACCTTCGAAAAGCAAGCCAAAAAAAAACCTGCTCAAAAGGAGGGCATGTCCAATGCACGGGGAGTGTGTGCAGCGAACACTAACTAAAGTGACTTGGCTGAGTTGCCGGTATCACGCTGCAGTAGCGCACAGGGCATGGACAGAGTCTCCACGCTCGCCCCGACACAGTCCCTCAAGAAAAGCAACTCTTCTTCCTCAGATCGGGGGCCAAGGCCCCAGGCTCGCTCCAGGAAGTTCAAAATCTGGAGGCGGCTCAGAGGAGCATGAAGTTCTTACATCCAGCCTTCTGCTGCATAATTTATGGCAAGCAACGTCTTCCAGCTCTGGGTTTGCCAGGAGCCTGCTGATAATGCCTTTCGCCACATCCCTGAGGGTCGTGGACGGGCCGTCTGTCAAGAGCTGTTGCCTCACCCCGTCGGTATCGGGTGGTACGAGCGGAACTTGCCCGGAGACGCTGCGCGACAGCGAAGGCCTCAACTTCTTCAGGCTTGCATCTTCTGTCTCGTTCCACGGAATTCAGGAACTGGGCACCGTTTGTTTCCTGTCCAAGCTGCTTCACGAGCTTGAGCGGTGCAGGTTCCGTGTAGTATCGCCGCATGTCGCGGCGCATGGCGAACACCGCTGCCAAAGGCTTGCAGAATGAATTTACTGTGTCAGGCTGAAGCTACTCGGGAAGTCGTCGGTTGGGGCTCTGCTGAAGCCTGAGAGTCTAGAGTCTCTGCCAACGAAGGCTGCTTTTTCACACCCGGCAGGGGGGTAGAAAGCTGATAGGGAAGTGATATCTAGTGCTCACATCACGGCATTGTACGGACTGACCTTAGTTACAAAGAGGCAGAAACTTGCGGTCGCACTACGTGCATAAGAAGCGGCTACTGTCTTGAACAATCCATCCACCGATCTGACACCGCCCGCACAAGTCTGCCCATAATCGCTTTTTGACACAGGGCTCCGGCAACCTCAGCTTGTTACTGGGACTGGGGACCTAACCATGCATGGTGCAGCCATGTAAATATGCCTCTTCACGCACCTGACACTAACCTCCGTCTAGATTGAGGCGCATTGGCCTTCGAGGCAAAAGTCATTGCACTGTCCGGGCTCACATGAATGTGGAGATTGACACTGTGAAGTGGCCTGCTTAAGCTCGGACTTCTGGGAGTCTGAGTTTCAAACAACACATCGGATCACCTCATCATGCAGTTCCCCGACGAATTAATAATCCTCGACAGTCACATGGCTTCGTCAGATGAGCCTTTCTTCCAAACCTTGGCTCGAACAGACTGTTACAACGAGCGTTCTCAAAGCACGAGATGCGCAGAGGGCTCCTTTTGTCCGAGGATCTTTCCAATGCGAAGCCCTTAGCTGCCGCTGCAGCACAGACGAAACATTCACAAGCTTAGGCAAACAGCATCCTATGCACACAACCAGTTACAACTGACCGCTGAAGAACAAAAACTGCAGGGTCTCAAGCGAAGCCTGCCACCAGGCTGCATAGAATTGGACGGATGCTCCGCACTGCTCCGGGACGTCTTCGGGACACGGGCCCAACCCATCTGCACCTTCGCCATCCATCCACTGCATGTTCTCGGCGCTCCAATAACTGACGATGGGCGTCCTTCCTTCATGGAGGGCTTGGGTAAGCTCACTCGTGCTCTTCCGTCCCTGGAAAGTGTAGGAATCCGTCAAGACCTGTGCAGTCAGCTCACATGGACTTCCGAGTTGGGCCAGCCGGGTTGTTATCGCCACAAGTTGACCATCGCTCCCAACAGGAAACCCGACTTCGACCTCGAAGGGGTGGTTGGTGTCAATGCAGTTGGCCCCTGGACCATACTCTTCTTTGGTCCAGTCTCGGTGCCAGCTCCAATCTAAACCTCCACCACCGTACCCTAGTCCCATGCCGGAATTGTCGTCTGGCAAATGCAACACAGAGTGGAAAGCATACTTGTTAGCCTCTTGCAAGTCTATTTCTGTACAGCGCACACCGCACACGTCGTTGGCATCGCAGTAATGGTCTTCGCATTTTGAGATGTCGGAGTTTTGGTGAAGTGAACCGAGGTAAAACGCTGCATTGCACCCACAGTCTGTCTGTGAGATGTCAGTGGTCCATCGCAAGCTTTTTCCAAGCAAGAAGATCTTGGAATAGTGGCTGTTGTTGAACTGCGTGGGCAAGCAAGTATCTGAGAAGTACGTTCGGCCCTTCATGAATACGTGAATAGCTCCATCACTCACTTCCAGGCTTCCAGCCAATTCTCCCGGCACATTCCAGTGGGCGTTGGCTGTTTGAATGGAACCTCAGCTCCGGGGCCCCCTGACAGCCACCAGTGCTGAGGCCTTTCTTCCAAGGAGCCGTGGCCCTGAAGTTCGATGGAGCCGGAGCAAACAGGACCTGGGACCAGCCGTCTACGGCCGGAAATGCTGGGGGGAGGGCCACGGACGCTGGCCTACAGGCTCTGGTGTCGCCACTGCCGAGGTGACCAAGAGGAAAAGCCGGAGTGCCATGCCTGCAAAGGACAGAAAGCGGCGTCTCAGCATGTTGCACGTGCTTCAGCCTGCCAGTGGTATGTCTTCACAAGGTGGAAGGACCTAACTACCTTCGAGCCAACATCAAGATTTGCACTAGTTTCGTGCCATCACACAGCACTCTTAACTATGAGAAGGGCAGCGGCAAAGCGCATCACACTGCGCAAAGGAGGCTGGCATGCACGTAAGAAGTCGCCCTGTACTCTTTCGCTCAGGCTCGGTCAGCGAGGGCGGCCAAAACCATGAGCCTGGCGACTCACTCAGCAAACAGGCACGACCGCCAACCACCCACGCCATTGGCCTCCAAGCGCGGTGTGGACATATCCTGGGAAAATCTCAGGACTGCTCTGAGGCTTCTCGTCGCACACTTCTAAGTATTCCAAGTCTGAGTTTGTGTGATTGCCGATGGGCGATCTTGCTGTCAGGACTCGAAATAATCTGCAGAATCACAGGGTGCAGACAGCGGCCGAGGACCTGGACCTGACTGAAAGGAGCTGCTAGGAAGATGCCACAACGCCGTCTCGATAAGTTTGCGACCACGGGATCGTGAAAGGGGTCCGGCCTCAGAGGTTCAAGGTCGCCCTCGATTCCCGAATTCGACTTCCCCGAAAACAAGAAGTCGTCAGTGATCCCTTTTGCCTTTTGCATTCTCGCCCGGGATATTGCATTTCCGATGACTTCCTGAGCCCTGCAAGTGGTTAGGCTTTGTGAGCCAAACAGAAAAGTGGCAACTCCGAACGGAGCTCGAGTACAGAAAACTTTCGCTCAGCAGCGTAACAGCTTGGATGACAGCTATGCTATTCCCTCTATGCAGGATCAACAGCACACATACTACCCCGACCCAAGCTCAAGCTGTCACATGCGGGGCTCGACTGCTCCAATCACTCTAGCCTGGGGTTCCTTGGACTCCTCCTCCTCCAACACTCCGTAGGACCTCGAAGATCCAGCGTGGATCTCCTCGAGTGACATCCCACGCAAGTCCGGCAGACATCGAAAAGCGAAAAGGCAGGACCCAAAGTTTATCGCGGCGAATATCACGAACGTCGCGACCTTGTCCATAAACAGCCAGGTCTCGAAGAGCTGGAAGATCAGGATATCAATGACGCTGGCCGCAACTTGGCTCTGGCCCATGAAAGAAGATCGGACCTCACTGGGTAGGATTTCGGATACTGCCACGAACTGCACGCCACCATAACCCGCGTTCCAGGACAGTATCCGAAAGAAAACACAAGAAGCAGCAAGCCCAGGTGTGAGAAACGTTGGCAGAGCCAGATGTAATGCCAGTAACACATCGCAAATTGTACAGAAGAAGCTTCCTCCGATACCAAGCCGTCTCCTCCCCAGCAACTTGCTGTCCGAGGTGAACATTGCAAGCAAAGCTCCGATCAGCTTCATCCATCCTATGACTGGCAGCAATTCACCGGGCTCCTTCACGCCACAGACTCGAAGTAAGTCGTATGCATAGGTCTGGATTGCAAAAGTCCCTGTCGCCGAGTTGCATCCTGCTAGACCCAGTGCAATCATCAAAGGCCGCCGATGCTTCTGCCAGTTTAGCAAGTTGCGTCTGCAGCAACTGCCTCCCCCTGTGCTGGAAAGGTCTGAAGTTACCCCTCCTGTCTGCACTAGTTTTCGGAGTTCTGCCGTCTCGGCTTCCAGGCCCAACATAGCAGAAGCACGGTCCAACCCGCACACATCTCCTCGCAATGCGAACCACCTTGGGCTCAAAAGCCGTAGCCCCAAAACCCAAGGTTTAGGGAACTTGATCCTCGGAAGACGGGCAAAATGAGCTACACAGTTGCATTGACAGCTCTCTCTACCCTGTAAAGACTGTAAAGGAAGCAAGCAGGAACCTGAATTCAGCAAAGCTCAAATCCGTGGAGCGATGAATCCCAGACCCGACCCCGCCTTGGGCTCTCTGGGAGGACGCACACAAAAACAAGCTGCACGGCAGCAGGAAGCGCTGCGAAAGCAATGACATGATGCCATTGCCACTCCGCGGTGTCTCGTGACGACACATGCAGGCCAAGCAGACACCCCACACACACGGCAACTTCATGCAAGCAAACAAAAAGACCTCGCTGTGTTCGCGGAGCAATCTCGCAAAGGTATGTTGGAGTCACCACGAAGGCTAAGCCCATTCCAGCACCTACCAAAAAGCGGGCGAGGAAGAAGGTCGGAACAGCTCTCGTGGTGGACTGCATTGCGACGGAAGCCAAGATCAGCACGTCAGCCAGAAAAAGCGCTGCTGAACGACCATATCTATCTGCTATTGTGGGGCCACAGAGCCTAGCTCCAAGACCTCCAATGCTTGCGAAGGACATAACGGCCTCCTGCAATCAGAGAATGCTGCAACCCTCCAAGCCCCAAACCCTAAAAAGCCTGCACATGCCTTCACACCCCATGGCCCTAGGCGGTATCAGTCGTGCTCGGCTCCTTAAGAAAGCATGTGCCAACTGCACCACCTGTGTCGCAAAGTTGAAGATCTCTGTCAACCGAATCCAGGATGCCAGTGGTGATGCAAATGTCGTAGCCATTGACGACGCCACTAAGAACATTGAAGAACACACAGCTGAATCTGACACACCACCTGGGGTGTCGCACGTGCGAAGCGAAAGCGGGGATAGGTGCATGACATGAGATGCACCGTTGTTAATGGCCGAGTCTCTGTCGCGGCTGCAGCTTCGCTGGCTTCCTGAAGACACATGAGCACGGATAGCTGCCCCACTCTCTCTCCATTTCTTCGTGTCTGCGGTTCAAATCTCGGGCCTGTCTCTGCCCTGGGTCGTTAGTTTTCCTCTTGTGGCCTTTTTCTACGCATGTTCTGGGTTCCTACTACTTCTACTACCACCACCACCACCACCATCAGTAGTACCATCGCCTTTGGTGGTCTTAAGTCTAACACTACGAAATACTTACTAACCCTGTTACGCTTGACCGTCCGGTGTTGCAGCCAGCGGCTCGAGAATTGTAATGTGGCTCCTGCGCGAATTTCTACGGTCCTGGCTATGAAGAAACTGGAGCTTCGAACTTGCGCATGCTTGCGTCGCAGCAAAATGTTTTACAATTTCAACTTGCCAAATCCATTTTCCCTGGGATAGTTGCAGGAGCCGCAGAAGCAAAAGCGGCAGCAGAAGCAGCAGCAGCAGTAGTATTTCAGAAGTAGTAGTAGTAGTACCAGTACTAGTACTAGTAGTAGCAGTAGTAATAGTAGTAGTAGTAGCAGTAGTAGTAGTCGTGGTGGTGGTCGTGGTGGTGGTGGTGGTGGTCGTGGTCGTGGTCGTGGTCGTGGTCGTGGTAGTGGTAGCGGTAGCGGTAGCGGTGGCGGTAGCGGTGCGGTAGCGGTAGCGGTAGCGGTAGCGGTAGCCGTAGCGGTAGCCGTAGCGGTAGTAGTAGTAGTAGTAGTAGTAGTAGCAGTAGTAGTAGCAGTAGTAGTAGTAGTAGTAGTAATAGCAGTAGTACTAGTACTAGTACTATAGCAGTAGTAGTAGTAGTAGCAGCAGTAGTAGTAGCAGCAGCAGTAGGAGTAGTAGTAGTGGTGGTAATGGCAACGGCATGAATCGCCGGAATAGGACAAGGAGCAGGAGTGGGAGTCGTAGTCGGGCTAGTAGCACTGGTTGTACAGTGGTAGCAGTGCCGGTCGTGGTAGTGGTACAAGCAGTCGCGATACTAGTCGAACTAGAGGTCGTCGTCGCCTTGGTCATCGTGATACTGTTGTTGACTGAAAACAGCATCTGAGAAGCCTGCAGGCCAATGACCGGAGTCCAAAACAACAGTCAGCAGCTACGCACATACAGTCATCGATGGAGTAGTTTCGTTTGTCTGCCGGAGACTTGTGATGCTGCATGTGGCGTCCTCAACAACTACCGGCACCTGAATCTGATGGTGGTCCTAGGGTCGAACACAAAGCGGCCCCAGGAGCTCCACACCCCACGCTCCCTCAAAGAGGTTAGGATTTTAGTGCAGGCAAGACATATTCTCGCATCACGAAACCGTTAAGGGGCGCACAATGTTGCCATACAATGAAGGTCAAAGCAAAAGCTCGTGCTTGTGAGAAGCGGTTCGATGGCGGACTCAAGCTACGTTCGAGCTGAGTCCCTCCGGATGGCTGGCAAAAGCATGAAAGCCTTTCATAGGAACAAGACACATCACACAGGAGCGTCAGGGCACGTGAGCCGGTGTCATCTACACGGGCCCGCCCGCAAGATGGCCCCTTCCAAAAACCCCATCTCGGCTCCAACATGCGTTGGAGGGCGATTGTCGGCTTGGAGGTTTCATTGATTTTTGGCAACGGACAGCACAGCCTTACCATGCGGAGCCAGGGCGCGCAATGTCGTCTGCATGTTCAGCATCCACAGACATGCAAGCCGAACACGCTTTCACATCACTTCCACGGTATTTTGCTGCTTGCTAGGCAACCGATGCTGCATGCGATGCTGACAACACTTGAAAACTGATGCCGGCGGCACCTGACTGTTGACCCTCTTGCGCTGTAATACGTCCTGTTTTGCTTTGCTGACTGCTTGCCGGGCTTGAGCAAGGCTACAGCAGCAACAAGCCCCAGGATGCGGCAGCACTTCTGTTTTGCCTGGTGCGCATAGCTTGAAGACGAGTTCAGCTACCCTCGACTTGCATCGCGGCCACGCTCCTCTTGGGGCGGGGCGATGACGACGTCGTCGTCCTCATCTGCACCCATCCACTCAGAGAGGCTGGACCTGCACGTTGACCGAAGTTAAACAAAGAACGTGTTGCTTAACCTAGTCATAGCTCACAAGCCCGTCGGCAACACAACTGCATGTCGCCAGGAGCCAACTCTCGCGCGGCACGCCGCCTTCCAAAGGTGATGCACGAACCCTTAAAGGCCCTAAACATTCCACGGTCTGTACCAACGCCTCCAAAGCTTGAAGAACACGAAGAGAAGCAGGAGCACACATCCAACGGTCAACGCTGCCTTCGCCAGCTGTGTGCACTGGCGTGCGTGGTGCCCAAAGGTACTGATTCCGGATCGAGCCAAGCGCCACAACAAAGTCATTGTTTTCAATGTGCTCAGATGGTCTGGCCGTAGGAGTTCTCACCTCTCCTGCCGGCTAGAGCTCACAGCTTAGGAACGCCACGAGACTAAAAGTGGTTGGGCTCGCGCTCGCGCGAGCAGAGGCGACATGCCAGGACCAAATTTTGAACAGCTACGAAAATGAGCTAACCAGAACTCACGCGCCTGGAGGCCAAGGTAGCAAACCTGAACCATTGCTGGCAAAGCCTCACCAAAGCTATGAAAAGGTTACAAAATCTCCATTTCTGCACGAAGTTCGGGCTCAGGCCGGCGATGTCGCTGGCATGGCCATTCACCAGAAAGCGAGCTGTGGACGTGGTGGAGGCGGTGCCTGCAGCATGATGATGCCCCCCCCCCCCGGCCCGGAAGCATTGATATTGCATGCAACCAATTGCAATTTGGCGCCGTGCTGGGATTGGTAACAGTTCTTGTCGAAGTGGTAGCGGCACTTGCGAGTGAAAACGAAGATGTCGTCGAGGAACCTGGAACAGAATTCTGCTGTGTGGCCAAGGAATAACTAACCTTCTCCCACATGTCTGTCCCAAAGTCGAGGCAACCAATATGTCGCGAAGCAAGTGCAGGAGCCAAATGCTGATGTACGGAAGGGGACAATGGTTGATGTTTCTGGCTGCGAAGCCCGATGTGGCAGATAACGGTGTCAATTCGGCTTGGCCCTTGCAGCACGTGTAATGGAAGCAAAACAAGTCAGCAATGGGTGCTGACAGCTCACGGAATGGCATCTCTTCTTCGCCCCCGCCAATCCCATTGCAGCCATTTACACCTACGAGCAACTATCTTGGCGCACTGCTTTGGACATCATTCGTCGCCACCGATATGGTGCTGCTCGTATTATCCGTGGGCAACATATCGCCTTGCGGGAAGCTCATCCTCGCACTGGCTAGGTGAGATCCAAGTGCGCCTGAAGGTTCCGTGCTGTTGACCACCTGATGAAGTACGCGGCACATGTGGTATGGCAAAACTTTGCGCTTCTGCTTTTCTCATGCTACCTCCCCCAGGCTCGGAACCGATGTGTTCGCGGCACCTTAAGCCAGCACAGCCGGGGTTCCACATTCTTCTTGGTCTCATTGTAACTTCAAGCAGATCCTAAGCTCCGTGCCCCCTGCGCTCGACATGACCACTTACAAGCCACATGTGCATAAGGCGTTCCCCTAAAGGAAAACCTTTTCCTCAACACTTTTAAGTATAGCCTTGCAGCACGGCAATACACGTGAGAGGAAGACCGGCATGGTTTCGGCCACAGGACCACACATCGTCCCTTCAGCAATAACACAGTGTTAATACCTTCCTGCACGTCTCCTACCTAGCATTGAGCCAATCTCGTGGGATCAATTCTCCTGTGAAAACCATAAGGAAAAAATCATGGAGGCTGCAACAACATGCACGCCGACCCAGAGATGGACAACACTCGTGGCTGGCAACGTGCCCCGTCCCAGGCCGTCGACGGCTTCTGCCAGCGAGCCCTGCTGCGAGAACTGCGGGGATCACCTAGCCCTGTTTATCACCGCTGCCACTGTATTCCTATGTATTCTGGCAAAACACCGCCCTCAAACGGTGCAAGATTATGCTCAAAGCATAAGATGCTAGCTCGAGCGATGCTCGGGCATCACAACCATTGCAAGCCATCAAACGTGTAAACGTCCTGATAGGAGCGTCGCTCGGAAACAAATTAACTTACAACTGCACACAGCCCAAAACTGGGGATGGGAGAGAGATGTCCTTGAACGACCGTGAGACACAGTCAGAAGTGAAACCATAATCATGAGCATAATCTCAGCATGCGATTACAAGCAGAACAAGCACCAATACACAACCAAGTAAGAGCAACACATTTATGTACAGATGAAGATCGTGAGCGATAAACCGTCCTGCACTAATGTACAACCTGCAAGGCACGGAGTACACTAATGATGTGTTGTCACGCAAGCATGAATGCTTACGACATCGCCTTTTAAAATTGAACTGTTGTTGTTTTATTTTTGGGGGTGCCTCTTTTCCACCCGTCAACCGCAGTCAGCACATACATCCTACTCTGCCGCTACGGGCGGCCCAGGACGCGGCTCGGCTGCTCGCTGGTCCAACGGGCGTCTGCGAGGAGTTCGTGCGGAGCCGGAGATGGTCCGGCAGCACAGGGCTCAGTGTGCAGCGCCAGCTCGAGGAACGTGGCTGCAAGCGCCCGTTGCAGCGTGCGAGCAGGCGGCGGAAGGAGGCGGCTTCGGCGTCCCAGCGGCCGCCAACCTCAAGCCCGCAGACGACCAGGCGGCACCTCCTGCCGCTGTCGAGCTCGGGATAGGTTTGCCTGCGCTTGCGCCTGGCAGCTGTGTGTGCAAAGCAAGGCCTGGCTGGGTCTCTGTGCCGGGGAGCGGTCTGCCATCCCGAGAAACAAGGCTAACCAGCGTAGCGTCGACGGCAAGCTGGGCACCATGCGAGAGCGGGAAGCCATTGCACACGACCTCGATGCGCCGGCCGTCGTGGATGGCACATCGACGTTCATTGCCGACAAAGCAACGTCACGACATGTCACGACCAACGACGCGGGCTCCGGCTTCTTAGCAGACCCGCGCGATGGCCCGCTCGATAGAACGGCTCGAGAAGCGAGGATGCCAGACATGGCACAAGCGGGGCGGTGGACGCCGTACTCATCGAGTGGGACTCGGCAGGAGCAGGCACGCGGGCCAAGCACCAAAAAAAATCCGAAGGCGATGGAGGAGGAGAATCCGATAGTGGGACGAGGGGATGGATACATCCTCAGAGGTAAGCAGAACCGTGAGGGCTCGTGCGCAGTGTGGCCCGGCCTCTGAAAGCAGCAGCACACAAGAGGCTGGTGTGAGAGCAGCAAGATGCATCTCGAGCGCGCTCATCACAGGCGTGGCAGCAGTCCGCTGCCACCCGCGCAGGCAGTCAGAGGGCTCGTCGCCACGGGGGCGCAAGTCGGCTTGGCCCCGGGATCGCTTCTTCCCAACTAGCGACCTGCGCGCCTTCGTTGCACGCTAGCACCGAGGGCATGCGGCCAGCAGCTGGAGCCCGGAGGCAGTGCATGAGGCTGTCAACGACGCTGGGGGCGCGGAGGCGAATGACCGGGAGAGTGTCCATCCTTGAGGCCCACTAAGCACCGGTCGCCGGCGTGCTGCCCGGAGGCCCAGTACACCAAAGCGCAAAGCGAGGCGCGCAGCGCGAGTCGCCTCAGGCGGCAGCGAGGCATCCGCATGGCCGAGAAGCGTGGCGAGGCAGTGGAGCATGGCTGCGTCGTGCTGATCTGCATATTCGGCTGCGGCGGCGGGGGCAAGGCACGCAGGAGGTAGTTTGCGCGCGGGCCGGCGCAATAGTGCAACAGCAACGTCCTCGACACCGATGCGTTGGACGGGACGGTCATGTTCTGCGTGCTTGAGCTCCAGTCGCTGCTGGATGTACGCGTCACTGCCATAGGGTGTGCGAAGGACCGTGAGCCCCCGTTCGGGAGGTGGCAGTGCCCAGTCCCCGACCCAGACCAGTGCAGGAGATTCCGGGAGGCTTCTCCGGTTTTGGAGCGGTTGAGCGCCATGCACGTGGGCCCACCGCACTCGCCAGTAGGCCTTATAAAGCTCGCACACCCGTTCAGGAAAGGACACGATGTATAGGTGTCGTCGATTGTTCCACCGCTCCAATCCTGGGACGTTATTGTTTTGACCCTAAATGGTCTTTTTCCGACCCCGGATTATTTCCGTGACCCCCCATACTACATTGCTGACCCCCTATGTTGATTCTGGAGCCTCTTGTTACGTTTCCGACCCCGACACCGTACATTCGTAGAAAGCTAATGGCACGACTAGTATACGACGGGGGACTACTACTATTGCTACGACCACGACTGCGGCTACGGGTCGAAAACGGACCCGTGGGGGCCCAAAAAAAGAGAACCCCCTCGTATACGGTGGGGACTACTACTATTGCCACGACCACGACTGCGGCTACGGGTCGAAAACGGACCCGTGGGGGCCGAACAAAAGAGGAACCCCCCCCAATCTCCATAGGTATGGGCCGGAAATATCGAGCTACCGGTGATGCAGACTGCGAGCCGCACGCCTTCAAAAGTTGTTGGACGTCAGGTGTTGTTATTGCATAAATTGTGAAATTCACGGAGCATCTTACACCTCGTAAAGTGAGCGGAATGCAGGTTTACCTGGAAGGCAATTGTTGTCGGCGATACGGTAGTTGGGACAAGATCGCGAGCTTCAGATGTTCATCAAGTATATGTTCTGTAGTCAAGTTTTTTTTTCGCGCACCTTTTTGATGTCCGCAAATCCAGAAGGTCCAACGCACGGTGCCACCTGCGAACTACGGGCCCAAACGGCTGGGCGCAGGAGGGGCTGCGTCGTGCAGCACGTCCTCGAGTGGCGGCTGCTGTGCGCCAGGTAGGGCGCCAGCGACGTATAGTGTGCTTTGCAGGGCCACGTTCAAGAAGCCCCACCAGCGGCGCAGCCAACCCTGCCTAGCCGCGGGGCGCAGGGCGGCAGGAGCGCGTTGGGCTCGGAGACGCACGAGTTGAGTGACACGGGGCACCGACTCAGCGCTCCTACGGCGTCCAAATTCACAGGCGAGGACGCACAGTCGCTGCGGCCCCGGCCGTAGCAGTTCAGGGTAGGCAACACGCTTGCGCCTCTCAGCTACAGTGATGGCAGCGCCATCTCGAGTGGCAGCAGACGGCTGGGGCCGCCCCTCGCGTGTCAGAGGCGACACCAGCGGTCACGAGCGTCACGTCGCAACACAACGCCTCGCCAAGCGGAGTGGCCGCATACACGACAAGGTCAAGGCGGCGGCGATCGGCGGGGTCAACGTCGCGTGCTGACGTGCGCGCCAACCACTGCTGTGGGACGACCTGGCCCTCGGGTCCGACAGCTTCACGCGCGATGCGCACCCATGCATGCTCGAGGGGCTTGGCTCGGCGGGCGAACAGGCCGGTTCGAGGGCACGCTGCGTGGTGGTCGCCATAGGCATCGACAGCGGCGCCACAACCGCGTGCCCGTGTGCGCCGCACCTGTGTGGAGCGACAGGCAAAGGCAGCCGCAGCCGTCGCCGCAAAGCTATGAGCATGTGGTCAGGCAGCAGAGCGGAGCCAGCCTCGCTCGGGACGGCACTGAGCCACGCGGCTGCGTGCGGCCTTGTCTAGTGAACGCAGTGCACGGTCTTTTATGTTGTGAGTTGCTCTAGAGCGAGCTGCAAAGGGAGGGTTGTTCCTTGATCACAAGTGATCTCAAGTGAGGATGCGGCCGCAGACTTTTATGTCATAACCATATCGTCGCCACACTTCTCCGATTCCCACCAAGCATATCGCGACAGTGATGCTCGTCAAAGTGCAACGACCGGACATGGGGAGAACCCACAGAAGCATACCGATGAGCACGGCTCCTGTCCAGGCCGCACAAGCGAAGTGCCACCGTGCAAGCAAGTGCTCACGGGTCGCTCCCTCGCATCTGTCCAATAACGCGGCAACAACCTCCTCCCATGCATCATTGTCTGTCTCCATCATGAATGGAAACCGCTGCGCTGATTGCGTTTTGGCAACACAAACCTGCAGTACCTCCCACATTAAACCATTCCAGACCTCAGAACTCGCGTCCGAAATCGACTGTAACTGGAAGAATTGTTCAGCAACTGGCAACAAACCCTTCACCAAAGCTGCTTGTTCATCTTCCAGGTTGTTTGGTCTTCGCCCGAGCTGTGTCCGCACCGAACGTACCCATGCATCCAGCACGGCATCCGGCCAATCCCAGCACAGCTCGTGCTCCTCGAAAAGAGTTCTGAGGCCATTGCGGGTACCCGCCCCTATTTTCATCACTTGAAGCGAAAGACGCCCCTGACGGGGAACATCTCCCGCACTTCCTTGGGGCAGGACGGTAGAGCTCCTCGGCAGTGAGCGGCCTCCTAGCCTGCAACCTGTCCCAAATGACCATTTTGGGGAGAAAGATGCCAGCCCAGTTTTGCTTCAGAAGACAGCACCTACCAAGTCAGCTGATGACTCTTCCGTGAAACTATTCCCAGCTTTGGGCTCACTGGTGCAATTCAATGAAGGTCCAAGAGTGTCTGCTGTGCAGAATAGCTTCGGAGTTGTGACAGGCGTCTCCTCGGTGGATGTGACCGTCACTCTTGCGGGAGGGGCGCGTGTGGAAAATGTGCGGCCCGATGATTTTGTGCTCACCTCGCTTGACGAAGTGCCCGGAGGGCAGGAAGAGCGCAATCGGCTGGAGGAGTTGATGTTGATTCACGTTCCCACTAGCCTGAAGCAGACCGCCGCGCAGGCTGCGCCAGACCCACCAGCACACTACGCTCCTCTTGCAGAGGGCACTCAATCGCAACACCAAGCCAAGTCCATCAAGGAATTATTGGTGTTGTGGCATGGGAAAGCGAGCCTGCAGCCGACTTGGGCGAGGTCGTTCTGGGCCGAAGTTGGAAGGCGCGAACCATTGGAACCAAGAGTCCGGACATTGCTGCTCTCCCATGGCTATTTGGGGAAGGGTGTGGGCTCGCCTCCGCGAGTCAAAGAACTGAAATAGAAGTTGGAGGAATTGTCACTCGCCGGTGCGCTCGCCCACACCACGAGCGCCTTCCGCGACCAAGACGCGGATCCGTGGCAGGAAGAAGCAGGTTTGGACACTTGGGATGCTGCGCTCCCACCAGATCTGAAAAGAGCTGGACCAGAATTTACACGTCGATGAAATCAGCTGGCGTACGTTGCGTACGGGATTGGATCAATAGCATGTTTTCCGTGGACCAGCGACAGCATACCCAATATGTGGAGCTGTTCAATCTTGCGTCCTTGGTGGATTCCAAAGTGAGGGACGCGGGCTCACCAGCTCAAGTACTCAGCATGATTGGGCAATGCGACACCTGCGAAATCGCATTGAGGAGATTGGCTTCTTGGATTCACGAGAAGAGGACGGGTGACAAGGATGCGGCTCAATCGATGTTGGCAGTGAAGCCGTCCTCGTTTGCCAGTGACATTGCGCCCTCCTGGCTGGTCACAGAAGCTTCAACATACAGCCAGAGCGAGTACAAGCGCAAAGAGAGAGCTCGTGCTCAATGGACAGAGTCCACCAAAGGCAAGGGCAAGAAAGGAAAGGACAAAGGAAAAAAGAGCGCGTCGGGCAAGGGGCTTGGGTCCCCTCAAAGTTGATGGGAAAGCAGCCTCGGGGAGGAGCAAGGGGAAACCCCGGGGCGAGCAAACGTTCCCTTGCAAGGCGAGCTGCCAACCCATGATTATGAGCTGCTCCAGCGCTATCTTGGGTGTGATGCAGCAAGCTTTCCTTTGCGTCTACCTTCATGCCCGCCCGAGCCTGAGGGTCGCTCTCGTCGCTTACAGCAGCGATGGGCTGCAAAGTTGTGGAAAATTGTGTGCAGGTAGGTGCATTTTCTGAACTTTTTGTACAGCAGCAAATGGCACGGGTCTCAGAGGCAGTTTGCGTCTGTCAGCAGCGGGACTGCCCATCATGCAGCTGAAGACGTTCTTCTCCGCCAGCTTTGGCGCAAGGCCAAGCTTGAGCGTGAGGGCCGCCGCCAGTATCGCGCTGATGCTGGGACAAGCGGCCGCAGTGCAGCCGCCGAGCTTGTGAATGCTCGGTTTCAAAACGGTTATTGTCGGATTCTGAAGTCCCCATCGCAGGTGCCCTTGCGTGCTTCGCTAGTTGCAGAGCCCAACGACGACACGTTTGTCGACATGTTGACGGCATTGCCCCAAGTGGAAGCGGATTTTTATGCACAGGAGGCTAATTGCATTGATTGGACAGGTAAATCACGCGTGATCCAGAACGAATTAGAGGAGCAGTATGGCTTCGTAAGTGGGAGTTACGACGAGTATGTCAGGTATTACCCCAGAACATGTGGACATGGAGAAAGTTTTCCGATGTCAAGGCCATCAGTGGGTTCGCTTGCGTTCCAAAGAAAGATGGCATTTCCCAGCGCAAACTTTTGATGTCTTGTTCTTTCAATTACCTGCTGACAGATGTGGAGCAGCGCTCCCGGCTTGGGATGGCGGGTGCAGGAGCGTTGTCCCGTGTACATTTCTCAGAGGAGAAAGTTTCGGCAGCTGTTTGCGACCAATCCAACGCTTTCACAAGCGACGCCCCGTCCCCCGCCAACGCGCAGCGCACTGAGGAAGCTGCCGCCAGAGACTTTGCTAACTTTGGTGACGACGT